CCCCAAAACCCCAAAACCCCAAAACCCCAAAACCCCAAAACCCCAAAACCCCAGAGACCCAATTTAAGCTGAGTACAAAAATAGATAATAATTATTATGAATCAGTGTAAATCTTTACAAAGAATCAGGAGTCGATCTAGGTGAACAAAAGTTTGTTCCAGAGATGTCAGAGAAATGGCAAAGAGACAACTGAAGGTGGATTCGGCAGTAAGTTTTGAGCTAGTGGATCCGGAGGTTATGACTGGGTGATGTCTTGAATAAGACTAAGGAGAGGTCCTGGGATGGTTATATATGGATAGAATTTAGTCTCGGTTATGGCTATGATATATTCTTTAATGGAGATGTTTACTTACTTCAAATTCTATTCTTTGAGTATGTATATAGTTGGTAAACAGTCTTTTTGGGCAGTAATCGGCATATTTAGCAATAAGCCATATGTTTTTATCTTGATCCTGGAAGCAAGTTGAAATTGCTACAAGTTATTTAGACGCTTTCCATTCTTGAGTTCATTATTGTACAGTCAGTAAATATTTGGTACATTTATTTTAATAAATGGTTTGTTCTGGCTATAACCCCCTCTCCTATCAAACAACACAACATACATCATAATTTTCATCTCTACAAAACCCTAACTAACTTTCTTAACAAAATCCCAGAACGAGTCTTCCCAGGCTGCCAAACCCCCTAAAATCTAGCTTAAAACTTAGCATCTGAAAGATAGCATTTAGCCGTAATTTATTAAGAGAAGATTGAGAGATGGGAACAGAAATTTTAGATTTTTTTATTTTGAGGGAGATGAAGTGGGGGACTGAATTTTTAGGGATTTTTCAGGGGTTTATACCGGGAAATTTGGGGGAATTGGGAGGCTGGAAAGGGCTTTCTGGGTGATTTTTGAGAGAGGAGTTGTATGAGTTGTTATAGCATCTTCTTCCGCCAAAATCAGCTGGACTTCCGACTCCTTTGATGAGGAATTGAAAGAGAACTCTTATGAAATTTGACAATAGTTTGATGGGGAGGACCAGGAACAAGTTGAGTCCAATGATAAGGACTGAAGACACTATCTTAAGTACTTCTTATGAAAATTCTGAAGACTCTAAAGATGAATTTACTCCTCAACATACCTTGGGAAGCAAACTTGATGAATTATGGAACATTGCAGGGGACAATCAAAGTGTGTTAGATCTGAACAGCTTCAAGTCTCAGTACTCTGAAGCAATGAGGATAAGAAGAAGAGCGACTCTCGTCAAAGTTTATTTCCTCCAGAAGGCTTATGCTGCATATGCCAACCTAACGAACACTCCCATGCGCATCAGGGTCTTCATTGATGGTTTTAAATTTTTCACCGAAAAGTGCCAACAAACAACTCTGAGACATATTGATACTCGGAGACTCATCCAAAAGGAACCCATAATGCTCCCAAATCTGCTTTCCAAAAGTAAATCCTCAGACTTATCTTTAGTGGACTCCATGGGAACTTCCGAAGATTCGGTCGTAATCGTTGGTGACTTCGACCCTTTGATGACAGAGGAACTTATTTCAGACCTTGTCCACGAGAAAAAAGGCAAGGCCTTGCTTTTCAAGTCCATCATTACTAAGAAGGTCAAGAAGAAAGCAGCTGGTCGGTCGAAGAAATCGAATTTTAGAACAGATTTTAAGAAGAAGCATATAATAAGGTAATAACCGATTATTATTAAACTATAGATTGAGCACAAAGAAAAATTTAAAACTAAAGTCAAAGATTACTAAGACCCCCAGAATCGGCCCCAAACCTTACTCTCTCACCACAAAACAACTAGTCCCAAACAACCTCCCAACCACCTCCCAGGCCACCTCCATTTCCCAAAATCTCATCCACTAAAACACCTCACAAAATCTCCATAAACTTCCCTAAAATTTCCCTCTATCTCCCACTTAAAATTCCCTATCGCCCTTACGGCCAGAAGCTCTCTACCTCATCTGCCTTACAGTACAAATTTTAGCCCATAGCTGCATTATTGGAATAGTGTTTTTATTTTCGAGGGTTCCAATAGGATATTTTGGGATGGGGTTTTGGGGTTTTGGGGTTTTGGGGTTTTGGGGTTTTGGGG